GGTGGTCCCCTGCTCCCGGGAGGTCACCATATTGATGCGAACTTAGTGCAGAAACCAGATCGGCAAAGCACACTATAGCCAGAACTCCTGGACTCAAGCGATCCTCCTGTCTCAGCCTCCTGAGTAGCTGGGACTACAGGTGCGCACCACCGCATCAGCTATAATAAATTTTATTAACTGTTGCATTCAGAAAAGCTGGACTCTAAGGATTTAAGGAAGGTAACTATTTGCACAATTTGGGGCTCAGTCTGGCACAAAAGATTCTAGAACAATGCCTTCCACTATGGTAGCCACTTATGGCTATTGAGCACTTAAAGTGTGGCTAGTCTGAATAGAGATATAATATGAGTATGAAATACACATCTGATTTCAAAAATTTATGATCTAAAAAAGAGAATGTAAATGGGTGTTGCCTGTGGCTCAAATGAGTAGGGCACTGACCCCATATGCTGGAGGTGGCCAGCCCCGGCCAAAAACTGCAAAAAAAAAAAAAAAAAAACTCATGGAAATTTTGATTACACGTTGAAATGATAACTTAGGTATATTGGACTAAAGAAAATATATTATTAAATTTAATTTTAGGCCGGGTGTGGTGGCTCATGCCTGTAATCCTAGCATTCTGGGAAGCTGAGGCAGGAGGGTTGCTTCAGCTCAAGAGTTTGAGACCAGCTTGAGCGAGAGGGAGACCTCATCTCTGCTAGAAATAGAAACAGGGGGCCAGGCACAGTGGCTCACACCTGTAATCTTAGCACTTGGGAGACCACAGTGGGTGGATTGCCTGAACTCATGAGTTTGAGACCAGCTGAGGCAGCGTGAGACCTCATCTCTAAAAATAGCCAGGTATTGTGGCGGGTGCCTACAGTCCCAGCTACTTGGGAGGCTGAGGCAATGGGATCACTTGAGCCCAAGAGTTTGGGGTTGTTGTGAGCTAAAGATGCCACGGCACTCTACCAAGCGTGACCAAGTAAGACTCTGTTTCCAAAAAAACATAAAATAAAAATAGCTACGAAACAAATTAGTTGGGTATTGTGGCAGGCGCCTGTAGTCCCAGCTATTGGGGAGGTTGAGGCAAGAGGATTGCTGAAGACTAAGAGTTTGAGGTTGCTGTGAGCTATGATCACACCATGGCACTCTACCCAGGGTGACAGAGAGAGACTCTATCTCAAGAAAAGACAAAACAAACCAAGATCACATACGTGGCTTGTATTATATTTCTATTGGAAAGGGCTGTTCTAGAAGCCTCAGGGTGACCTTCAGCAATTCCTGAGTGGCCAGGATATGAAAACACCGTCAGAATGAATTTGTTTAGCAGCCAGTATCCCTTGGGGAGTCACTGAAATAGATGGATCAGGAAGCCTAATAAGGATTGGCCTTGCTGTGGTTTGAGCCACATCAGTTGGCTATAAAAGGGAAGAGGGATCTCAGAGGGCAGGGCCCAGGGGTTAAGCCTGGTGGTAAGACCAGCAGTGATTTCTGTTTGGCAGTAGTGCCTTCAAGTAGCTACACAACGATGTCAGAAGGCCAAGATGGGGCTGAGCAGTGAGAAGGGTCCTAGGTGCATTCCAAGACTTTTTATTTTTATTTTATTTTTTTTTTTTGAGACGAGCCTCAAGCTGTCCCCCTGGGCAGAGTGCCGTGGCATTACAGCTCACAGCAACCTCCAACTCCTGGGCTCAAGCGAGTCTCTTGCCTCCGCCTCCCAAGTAGCTGGGACCACAGGCGCCCGCCACAACGCCCGGCTATTTTTTGGTTGCAGCCATCATTGTTGTTTGGCGGGTCCGGGCTGGGGATTCGAACCCGCCACCTCAGGTGTACGTGGCTGGCGCCTTAGCCAGTTGAGCCACAGGCGCCGAGCCCATTCCAAGACTTAGAAGCAGCTTCTAGGCTCAGACACTGACCAGGTAGCTCCACTTTAGGGCCTCAGGAATTTGTTTGGAAAGACTCTTGTTAGAGCATGGCTATGTTGTATGGATTTTTGTACCATGGGTCAAATCACAAATACCCATGTGTCACAATTCCTACTGAAAGAACATGATATCACTCAGAGCAGCAGATGCTATTGGGAGCCTGCCCGGACCCCCTTCTGGTTGTGTGAGCCTGGTTCTCAGCTCCTGTCTGTGACTTTGTTCCTAACCATAGCTGTGACTTATTTTATTATTATTATTATTTTTTTGAGACAGAGTTTCACTTTTATGCCCTTGGTAGAGTGCCTTGGCATCATAGGTCATAGCAACCTCAAACTCTTGGGCCCAAGCAATCCTCTTGCCTCAGCCTCCTGAGTAGTTGGGACTACAGGCACCTGCCACAATACTTTGCTATTTTTAGATGGGATTTTGCTCTTGCTCAGGCTGGTATTGAACTCCTGAGCTCAAGCAATCCACCTGCCTCAGTTTCCCAGAGTACTAGGACTATGGGTGTGAGCCACTGTGCCCAGTCTTGTTACCGTCTTTAGATGGTTGGCTGTGGGCCACCAAGGCCTCCTTGCCCATTCGGACAGCCAGAGTCCCCAGAGCCAAGGACTGACTGGAACAGGGACACAAAGACTCGGCCTCCAGATGGAATGGCTCTGGGGTGCCATTTATGCTCCAGAGCTCTCCAGGGATCAGGCTGAGGCGTCACCTGAAATCACACCCTCCTCTGGCTTCTTCCCCTTCCCTGTCCTGCTCCCCCAGTTACTGTACTGGTTTCTCCTGGACGCACTTTCTCAATAAATCACTTGTTCTCAAATGCTCATCTCAGGGTCTGCTTTTGGAGAACCCCACCAGACAAACAGACTTTATTGTAGGTATTGGTCATGACCTTGGGTGGTGGCCAAGGTCACCCTAGTGAGTGTGTATGGGATTCCAAATCCTGGAGATAACCTTTGAGAGCCCAGAGCCTGTACCCGGGGCAGATCAGAAGAGAGGACCCGTCTACGCAGCAGCAAGAACATCGCACAAACAGCCGCATGACTTCCCCTCGGACTGTTTATTTTATTGCTCTTTAGTCAGGCTCTTCCCCATACATCTTTGGATCTCCATCGTGGGCTTTCTTCTAGAAAGTTGAAGCTGTGTTCTGCTTCTTGCCAGCTTCACGACACCCACTGCCCTTTTACATCAAATATGCCGAATAAAGATGGAAACAGGAACTTTGCTGAGTTTTGCAACATAGAAGCGTGTTCTAGGCCTACGTTTATAGATCGTGGGGGTGGGGAAGAGCAATGAGTCCACAGGGGTGTATCCACACCAAGGGGCGTCACACTGGGTAGGCAAATGAGATGGGAGTGGGTGTCTGAGTCCTGGGAGCTCCAGAAACATCAGAGAATTACTGACCTACCGCTGGGAAGAGCTTTAGAAAAATCTATAAAGACACACTGTCTCCACACAGGGGACACTCACTTCCCCTTAATGAAGACTAGAAAAAAAAGCCCAGAAACCCACAGTAACCAAACACACACACACACACATGTCAAACTCTAAGTCTCCAGATAAACACCCTCAAATAGGCACTTGGTGTTTTCAGCTCAGGGGCTGGAGAGAAGATCTGAGGCTTTGGCCTCCAAAGGCAGGAACCACTGTCCCCAGAGAGGGGACAACAGCTTCTGAAGGTTTTGGGGACGGATCTGATGGTGGCACTGGTCCAGTTGGATGAGAAGGCAGACTGTCTAAAAAAAGACCTCCCTTCCCATTTTACCAAGACAGTGGCTGGCAGGAAGCTTTGTGCCCTGTGCATTTCCTGAATATAGTGGACTGGCATTTTTTTTTTTTCTTGAGACAGAGTCTCACTATGTTGCCCTTGGTAGAGTGCGGTGGGATTATATCTCACAGCAACCTCAAACTCTTGGGCTTAAGTGATTCTTTTGCCTCAGCCTCCCAAGTAGCTGGGACTACAGGCACCTGCCGCAATGCCCGGCTATTTCTTTGTTGTTACAGTTGTCATGATTGTTTAGCTGGCCTGGGCCAGGTTCGAACATGCTACCCTTGGTGTATGTAGCTGGCACCATAACCACTGTGCTACGGGTGCCAAGCCTGGACTGGCATTTCTTAAGAGCACATCATTGAAAGAGCAGATGCTGGTTATTTAAATATGGGCTTTGCACGTTGGGAACTGACTGATTCCATGGGGGGAAGGAAGGACCAGGTCCAGTCTGCTACTAACCAATGTATTCACAGAGCCAAACCATGCCTAGTGCTTAGTAGGCATGCAACAAATATTTGTTGAATGGCTGAATGAAAGAATCCAAAATGAAAATCCTATTCCTACAAGAATATACATTTATAACTTTTTCATTGGTGCTTTTTAACCTTCAAAGTGGAATTATAATTTACTTATTCTCTTGGCCCTAAAGGAACTTAAAAAAACTGGAAACTGTCTTTTCAGTTGAAGCCAGGGAACAAATCTTTGGCAAATGCACCGGTGAATTTCAATGGGATAATCAAACTGTCTCTAAGGCCAGCAGCTAGCCCTGAACTGGCCATTGGGCGGGAAGGGTAGGCCAGGCCCTTATGTGTGGGAGCTGATGTTTAGGCAGGGGGGGCAGGTTGTTTATTATGCCCTGATTTGAAGATTTGAATTTGGCTGTTGGTGAAGAAGTTCTTGCCCAGCTGCCTGTAGAGATGGCATCCAGAATAAGAAGGAAGTTGAGGCAGTGGGAGGAGAGTGGTCAGGGACTGGCCAGGCAGGTGATCTTGCTGGGGCATCCTTAAACACTTGAACTCTCAGGCCACAAGGAGGCTGGTCTAGGGAGAAACCTGCATGTGGGGAGACTGCATCCGGGACAAAACGTGACAGGGAGTATCATGCAAATGAAAAAACTGCTCTGCCAAAATCTATTTCTAGGGAAGGTTCTAAGGCAAATTATTGGACCCTCAGGGAGTGGGGAGCACTGGCCGGCGGTGTCTACACTGCAGAGAGAAAGCCAAGGGTTTGAGAGAGAATGGTGAGGAATGAACACTTAGGAGCGGCCACCTAGAACCCCATGGGAGGTGGATTTGAAATGACGATGCCAGTTCAAAGTGCGTCTGGGATCCCAGGGTCCCTTTCTAGGTGTCTTACCTTGGACACTGGGGGATGGCTGCTGGAAGAACCGGCAACCCTAAAATCTCCTTCCCTTCTCCCCACATTCAGCGTTAGACTAGAGACTAAGAACTCTTCGGGGAATGGTTTGGGTACATGGTTCATTATGTGTTGCTTTGTTTCTCATGCCAGGGCTACACAGACACCGGCCCAGCTATTTTTAGGAAGGACAGCGCCTAGCCTCCCCGGGGATGGCTTTGGTGGACGCTGAGGCCCCTCTCAGGGAGGGCAAGGCACAGATTCTCCGAGTCCTGCCCTACTGCCTCCCTGCAGGGCAGAAAGGTTCTGGGCTCGAGGGGTCTGGAGAGCTAGGGAGGGGCCCCGGCGGGTCACGGCACCATGTGCCACCACTTGAAGGTGAAGGGCTTCCTGCGCACGTTGGTGCCGCAGTGCACCTCCCCCAGGAACTTGTGGTAGGCGGAGATGTCGTCGATAAAGGTGCAGTAGAGGCCCAGGGGCTCCAGCAGGGCCCGCACGTGCGTCTCCAGGCAGCACACTTCCTCCACCTGGGGCCCGAACGGCTTGGGGATGCCCAGGTCCTTGTCCAGCACGATCATGTTCACCTGTCGGGGGCATCACAGTGTAACAGCTCCTGTCTAGTGAGTGCCACGTGCCTGGCTGTGTTCCAAGCTTGTGGAACCCTCACCACAACCCTGTGAAGTATGAACTGTGATTATCCCCTCGTCACGGATAAGGAAACTGAGGCACAGAGGCAGGTTAGCCGCTCATAAATGGCAGGGCTGAAGTGGAAAAGCAGGTCATCTGCCTCTGTATGTGTGTGTGCAAAAGCATGCACACAGGTATGTACGCGTGTGCACCCATGGCTAGGTATGCCTGCACCAGCGTGTACCTGTGGGTACGGATGTGCACACACACGTGGGTTTGTGTGCATGCAGTTTTTTGTTTCATTAATTAATATTATTATTATTTTGCAGATTTTGGCCGGGGCTGGGTTTGAACCTGCCACCTCCAGCATATGGCGCCAGCGCCCTACTCCTTTGAGCCACAGGCGCTGCCCAATTAATTAATTTATTTTAAGACAGAGTTTAAGACAGAGTGTTGCCCTCGGTAGAGTGCCGTGGCATCACTGTAGCTCACAGCAACCTCCAACTCTTGGGCTCAAGTGATCCTCTTGCCTCAGTTTTTCTATTTTTAGTAGAGACGGGGTCTTGCTCTTGCCCTGACTGGTCTTAGACTCATGAGCTCAGGCAATCCACCCACCTTGGCCTCCCAGATTGCTAGGATTACAGGCATGAACCAATATGCCCGGCTGTGTGCATGCATTTGCGTGTACATGTTTATATATGCGTGCACACATGTATGTATATGTTTTTCTGTGTGTGTGTTGTTCTAACCTCTTTCTCATGGAAGACTCCCCTCTATGTCACGAGAATCTCTCCTGTACATAAAGGACTTCTGTCCTTTTGCAGAGCCCTCTCCTACCTGTTAAGGAGAAGGACTCCCACTACCTCAGTGAGGCAGCTAGGATAAGCACACTGGCCTCAGAGGAAGAAGTAGGGTCCAGAAAGGGCAAGCTCCTGGGGTGAGGCCACACAGCTCAGTCAGAACAGGGACCTGGGCCTCCCAACTGGAAAGCCTCAGTCAAGGGGTCCTTCTGGATCCAGCTGCCCCCTACTTGGTGTGGGGTAAGGGTGAGGGTTGGGAGATCTTACCATGTTTGGGAAGAAGGCTCTGGCCTGGCGATCTTCATCCATCTTGAACAGAGCAGGTAGGTCGATGATGTCCTGCTCCGTCAGTCCCAGCTCCCTCTTGAGAATGTCACGGTTCCAGTCCAGGCAGCGCTGGGTGGGGGAAAGGAGGAATAGCCAGTGGGTTAGGTGACATATACCTGCCACTGTGTCAACCCCACTCCTGTCTGTGGCATCAGGCCAGGGCCCCTCACACCAGGGAGACTCCTAGCATTCAGCTAGCACCTCTGTCATTGCTCCCGGGCCCCCTCCGCTGGAGTTGGGGCAGCAGAGGTAACAATAATCAGATGGTGGAAGGTCGCAGAAATAACAGCAGCAGCTGTCATTTACAGAGCACTGACTCGAGCCAAAGCCCGTGCTCCGTGCTCGCCACACAGGTTCTCAGCGACTCCTCAGGCTGCCCCATGGGTGAGAACAAAAGCTGATAAGCTGATAAGCTCGAGGGCTTGGCACTGATCTAAGCACTTCGCACAGATTACTTATTTAAGTTTCAGCCCTCTGACGTAGACACTATTATTATTCTCTTTTTCGAGACCGGGGAACCAAAGACAGCCTTCGTGAGATGCCCACAGTCCTACTGTGAAAAGTAGAGGAAGGCCACAATTTGACCTGAGATCATTCCAAGAAAATGACCATGGAGGGGACAGTTATAAAAAAGTCAACTTCCGGAAGCCAGCAAGGAATTCTGTGAACTTTGGTGGGCCTTGCATTGCATCCATTCCACCTCCTGCTCCTACAGGCCTCCCCCACATCCAGATGAAAGCTGACTAGTGGGCTTTCTTCCCTCAGTCTCCTTGTCCCAGTGATTGGCGCAGGGATGGGCAGTAACCCAGGAATAATCCCATGAACATATAGAATTCCTATGGCCACAATAATTGGTTCAGGTTGGCTCAATCAGTGAAATGCAAGCTCTTGGTCAACTGTTGGGGGTGCATATAAGATCTTTCTCTTTGTTGATAGTGTGCTGGGTAGGGGTAAGGACTTCAATTGTCGCAACCATGAGGATACAAGAGGAGCCCAAGGAATGCAGAGAAATGGCGTTAGAGCCCTGATCAACCTGTGCCTGAAATCCACACCATTGCTGACCTTTCCACTTACATGAGCCAATCATGCCTTTGTGTGTAAGCCAGTTTGAGGTGACTTTTGTTCTTTTCAATTTTTTTAAACTTGGTCTTTTAAAGTATGCCCATACGAATACATGGAGACTTAATTCATAAAAATGTGCCTGGTTTCTACTCCTGGATGCAATTACTGAGGCTTGGGGACTCAGAAACAGGGATCCATGTACAGAGAGGAAACTTCAAGGATCTGTTAGCTCCCCGAACTCATCAGGGTGAATTCAGGGCACATGTTCACATGTGCATTTTGCTAGAGAGCAAATTGGTAGCTTTCATCATCTTTCAAAGGGATGTATTTTTCCCAAACATCACGGGCTTTAGTCTAACAGAGATCTTGGCTCTTTGGCACTGCCTGGTAAGCCTTCCTGCCCAGTCTCCTGTTTGCTTCTAGTCCCTGCTGACCTCACATCTTGCCTTTATCCCTCTTTTGCCTTCCAGCTTTAGCCCAGGAGCAAAGCAAGGAAGCTGACCAAATGCTTGTTGAGTCCTTCCTTGTGCTGAGATGCTCAGGGTCAGGAACCCCTAAGCCCTTGGCCATTCTCGACGGAAGCTCCGTGCTCTGAGCATGTGAGCATGTGAACCTCATCCCTCCCAGGGGCCCTCTGGCCCAGCAGCCCCAGCCCTACCTGGAGCCCTGTCCTGCCCCCCACCTGGAAGTACTGGTTCTCTTGCACGAAGCTCTCATTGGACAGAATCTTGTTGATGGTGATTCGCTTGCTGCTCATTCCACCCAAGCCTGTGGGGGGTCAGAGAAGTGGTCAGCTTTGGATACTCAGGCTGGTTGCCCTCTCTGCCAAGGGCCCCCAGACCTTGGGCTAATGGCTGGACTGGAATGTGGGAGATGAGGGAGATGGGGCTGGGGCTAGGCCAGGGCACAGGAGGCCAGCTCCTGGGGAAATCCTTCACAGGGCAGCACACACACACGCACACACACACACACACACACACGCTTTTCTCCAGGTCAGCCACGTCATCTGAGCCACTGACGAGGCAGTGGCTGCCTTGCTTGCTCTCTGGCCAGCTGTGGGGGGAGGTGCACAAGTAGCCACTTGGTCCTCCCACCTGGTTCCTGCTCCTAAGGACGAGCATCTGACCAGCGTGAGAGTAGCAGAAGCAGTCTGCCTGTGTTCCCAGACCTGCCTCTGCTCAGCCTCTGCCCTGGAGTGGATTATATCTGTCTCCCGTGCCACATGCTGGTTCATGTGGCTTCTGGCCTGATGAGTAATTCCTAACACGCAGTGAGCACCTACTGAGTGCTACAGAGGTGCTCTTCTAAGACTTTCCATGGATTAACTTCTTTTTTTTTTTTTTGAGACAGAGCCTCAAGCTGTCCCCCTGGGTAGAGTGCCGTGGCATCACCGCTCACAGCAACCTCCAACTCCTGGGCTCAAGCGAGTCTCCTGCCTCAGCCTCCCAAGTAGCTGGGATTACAGGCACCCACCACAACACCCGGCAATTTTTTTGGTTGCAGCCATCATTGTTGTTTGGCAGGCCCGGGCTGGATTCGAACCTGCCAGCTCAGGTGTATGTGGCTGGCGCCTTAGCCGCTTGAGCCATAGGCGCCGAGCCGGATTAACTTCTTAATCCTCCCCATAGTTTTATTTGGTAGTCAAATAAAAGAAAGATGAGTTTCTTTATCTTCCTGAAAGATGAGGAAACTGACACACAGAGAGGTAATGTGACTTGTCCAAGTTCTCATATCTAGTAAGTGTCAGAGTCAGTACACAGATCAGGCAGTCTGATTCTAGAGCCTGTGCTCCTAACCCATGATTAGTATTTTTCCCTGATCTAGGAAGTGCCTGCAGGCCCACCGCACTTCCCAGGCTTGTAACTTGACAGTGGCAAAGACACTGGGGCTCTCCAGACCCTGTCCCTGAGCTGTGTCCACACCACTGCTCACCCTATTTGTACAAAAAAAATGACGATTCCTAAATCCCATGGGTAGCTTTTGGGGTAATCTAAAAACAAAGCCTCCAGAAAGGCAAGACCCAGGCCTGGTAATCCAAGAAAAATCTTTCCAGTGATGGGGAATTAAAAAAGGACAGGGGTGTGAAATTGATCTCATCTGTCCTAGACACCACCGACAGTCAGGAACACCATCTTTGGATCTGAAGGGAATTAACGTTAAGTATCAATCAGCCTTGGGAATGCAGGCTTTCGGCCACAAGATACATTGGGGACACTAAACTGGAAAGTGACAAAAAGTAATTTAAGATAAAAAATGGTTAATGTATATAGTGGTGGTGGTTAGTCAACATTGTATTTAATGACTCTGAATTGGGTAGTTACAGATGGTTAAAATGATAAATGTGCTATGTTTATTGTATCACAGTAAAAAACGTATAAGGAAGAGGCTTGGCCGCTGGAAACTGGCTGTTTCCACCTGGTCAGCTTCCTGTCTTTTCATGATTCATTCAAATGTGAACCTCGCCCCAGGTCTACATCTGTAGCTGCTGTCCACTGCAAGCAGATAATTCCTCCCTCCAGGACTGACAGTAGGGGTGCCTGACTGTGCATGCTGCATGTTGAAGTCCCTTTTTCTTTGTCCCTGGACTACATTGTGTTTGTTTCTCTATCTCCCTTTCTAAAATACAAGCTCCTTGAATGCAGATTGCATGTCAACTGCTTAACCCTCCTCTGGTCTGGTGTTGGCATACACTCGGTCCCCGTCCCAAGGAAGCGCTTTGCACTGCTATTTTATTTTACTTTTTTATTTTTTGAGACAGAGTCTCACTCTGTTGCCCCAGGCTGGGGTATTTTAGCATCAGCTGAGCCCACAGTAACATCAAACACTTGGGCTCAGGTGAGCCTCTTGCCTCAGCCTCCCTAGTAGCTGGGACTATAGGCTCCCACCAAAATACCTGGCTAATTTTTATAGTTTTAGTAGAGACAGGGTCTCCCTCTTGCTTAGGATGGTCTCAAACTCCTGAGCTCAAGGGATCCTCCCAGCTTGGCCCCCCAGAGTTTTAGATTTACAGGAGTGAGCCACTGTGCCCGGCCATGCTTTGCACTGTTGATGACCGTGAGAGGCAGTGGGTAGCTCACGGGCCACCTGGCTACAACAAGGGTTATAAGAGGCTGGGGCTAGTTCCTACCATGGTGACCTCACAAACTCGGGGTCCGGCCAGACACCCTGGCAAGTGGAGCAGGGTGCACAGGGACAAAGCACTCATCTGCCCTAGCCCTTGAGGGTTTCTCTGGGGGCTCTAGCTTGGTGTTCCCTGGCAAGGCCCTATGGCCTCTCACCTTTGAACATGATGGCCTCCCCATGGCCCTCCTTCTGCTTCTCTCGGAAAAGCCTGTAGCAGGCCGAGGTGCTGGCCATGAGTAGCCGGAATTTCTGTGAGAGAAACCAGAGGGACAGTGTCAGCAGAGAGAAGGTGGCCAAGGAGCAAGAGGAAGTCCCGCCCTGGGGACCCAGAGCCTGCTGGCACACTGTCTTGAGCTGCCCACTCTGAGTGGCAGAAGAATGTTTCTCACCCTTCCTCCACTTCAGCAGGTTAAACAAAGCTCGGAGCCGAAGGTGGCCTTGGACTGAATAGAAGAACTCTCCCAAGTAGCCAAGGAGCCAGGCCTTGTGCACTTGGGTAGAAAGGTATAAAGAAAATGAAGGTATAAAGAAAATGGTATAGGTATAAAGGTATAAAGGTAAAAAGGTATAAAGGTATAAAGGTATATAGGTAAAATGGTATAGGTATAAAGGTATAAAGGTATAAAGGTATATAGGTAAAAGGTATAAAGGTATAAATGAAAGGTATAAAGAAAATGAAAGACTCTCTTTGCAGAGCTGCAGGCCCACACCCGGCTGCTTTCTAGAGCACCACAGCCACTAGCCTTGGTGACTATTGAATACTTGAACTGTGGCTAGCACAAACCAAGATGTACTGCAGGAGTGGAACACTCACCAGATTTGTTTTTTTTTTTAATTTTGAGAAAGGATCTTGCTCTGTTGCCCAGGCTGGAGTGCAGTGGGGTGATCATAGCTCACTGTAACTGTCACCCTGGGCTTCAGCTATCCTGGACTCAAATGATCCTTCTGAGCAGCTGGGACTAGAGGCAAACGTCACCATACCCATGTAATTTTAATTTTTATTACTTATTTATTTTTGAGACAGAGTCTCACTTTCACCCTGAATAGAGTGCTGTGGCTTCATCGTAGCTCATAGCAACCTCAGACTCTTGGACCCAAGCAATCCTTTTGCCTCAGACTTCTGAGTAGCTGGGAAGTGCGTGCTATTGTGCCCACCTAGTTTTTCTACTTTGAGTAGAGACAGGGGTCTCATTCTCCTTGGGCTGGTCTTGAACTCCTGAGCTCAAGCAATTCACCTGCCTCAACCGCCCAAAGTGCTGGGATTATTGGGGGGGGTTGGGGGGTCACTGGTGTGAGCCCCACATCTGGCCACTCACTGGATTTTGAAGATTTGGAATATAAAAATCTCTCATTAATAATTTTTATATTGATTACATGTTTAATTGCTAATAATTTGGATTTATTTGGTTTGCAACTACATGTAAACCAGCTTCAGCCTACTTCCTTCTTCCTTTTCCCTTGCCGTTCTGCTTCTCTAGCTCCAGCGCCCCTGCTGGCAAGGTATGGTATTACATGGATGCTCCCCTAAGCGATTACTCCAGCCCCTGGGGCTGGCTCACCTTTGTGCCTGGGATGGGCACGAAGGTCATGAACTCGTCCACATGGCCCACAGTCAGCCAGTCTGAGTAGAGCTCCACAGGCGCCTGCACCTGCTGGGCCTGCAGGAAGTCACGTACCACCTTGGTCATCCGTCGCCCACCGGACCTGCAGCAGGGTTGGAAAGGAGGCAGCCCTTCAGGAAGTTGTCCACCCTGCCTGCCTCACCAGAGGTCTGCAGGATGAGTTCAGCCTCTGGAACCCAGCCCGAACCCAGGGTAGCACCAGCAGAGAAGTCACAGGAAGGAGCCTGAGCGGGGCGTAGAGACCCTGGTGTAGGCAGGAAGGCATCTGAGCCCAATGGGAAACAGGTAGGCATTAGTTGCAGCTGCTGCCCATGTGAAGGGTGTGGAGCTTGGCCATCTGTCCCTGGGGTACCAGTGATAAGGAAGGCTACCTTCTGTGCTCAGGGGTCCTGCCTGGACTGCTGCAGGGGGGCTAGGGTCACAGGATGACTCCAAAACTTGCCCCTGCCCATGTGCCTCCTTGCTACATTAACTTTGATTCACTTTAATCAGTCTAAGAGACACCTCCTCCAGGAAGCCCTTCCTCCAAGAAGACGCTCCCCCGACCCCCGCAAGGTCGCCAATCTCTCCAGTACCTTCAGAACAGAACCTGTCCTTGTGGTGGCCAACAAATTCCCCTCTGATCTTTCCCTGCCGGGCCCTCCCACCTCACCTCCCTTCCTCCTGCTCTGTTTGCCCTGACCTCCTGCTGCACCACTGTAGAGCTTTTGGCCTTGCTGTTCCCTGGGTTTGGAATGCTCTTCCCTGCTGATCTTCTTATGGCTGCCTCTTTTCAACATCCAAGCCTCAACTCCAAAGTCACTTCCTCCAAACATAACAGCTCGGGTACCCCGGCCGTTACCCTATTGATCTTCTTCCTTGCACTTGTCAGTACTCGGAATTATCTTGTTTACTTACCTGCTTTGTTGTTTATTTCCTAAACTTCCCTTACCTGACTATAAACTCCCAGAGAGCTGGGACTTTGTCCTGTTACTGCTATATCCCCAGAGCCTAGGACAGTATCTGGCACTGTTCTAAGGAACCCTCCTTGAACTCCCCAAAGGGATTGGAGGGTCCCTCCGGGGGCTCCCCTGACTCCCTGCACGATTGTTCTTTTGCTGCACGCTCCTCCATCTCATCAGCGTCTATTTGCATGCCTGTGACTGCCATCATCTCCTTGAAGGCAGGGACTGGAAGGCTTCCTCTTTGGGACCCTGTGCCTAACGTAGGGTCTGGCACTTGGCTGGTACTCAGGAAATAGGTGCTAAATGGATGAGTGACCATCAAGTGGGAAGGAGGGGAGTGGGAGGGGGAGAGGGAAGGAGGGGAGAGGGGCAAATAGTCACTGCCTGAGCCAGTGGCCTTCCTCCCAGAAGGCAGAGCAGCTCATGTGGCTCAGAGAGAATTGGTAAGCAAATCCTGGCTGAACACCCATGTGCAGGTTCCTGGCAGCCCTTTTGTGAACCCGAGGTAGTCACTCTCTTCCTGTGACTGCCCTGTTAAGGATGAATCTACCTTTTCAATGGCTGGTAGGTTAACTGGGCAGGGAGTAGGGGCATCATGGGCACGCCAGGGAGCCAGGGACTCAGGCATCTGGGGCAGGGCTATGCCTGCTCACACCTCTTTTAAGTTAGGGCACCCCTGAGGATTTGCTGGTGCTCCCATTCATCCTCTGTCATTAGTTCTCCCTGGACTCCTCTGTCCCTTCTCCACCTGGTTTATAATCTCATCATACACCCTCCCAGTTGGGGAAGATATTTGTTCCTAATTTACACTAAGATATACAGACTAACTTATTTTTCTTTCTAAGTGTGCCTGAATCTTAACAGACAGTCCTGGGAGGGGGTAATTCTCCCAGCCACTGGCTCTGTGTATGAGCAACTCAGGCCACTGCTGAAGAGAAACAGTTATCTCCCCCCTCCCGCTGCCCCCAGCCGACCCTGGCTTCTCTTACAGAGGAAAGCTGCTTCCAATGAGGATCCGGCCAAGGGGGTATGTCTTGCCGTTCACGGTCACTGGGGGACTGACTTCCAGGTTCCCAAAGGAATCAAGGCTGGTGACAGCCTCAAAGAGGGGCTCCCGGGTCACGTAGCCGAAATCTGGGCCCTAGGCAGAGGGTACACACCACCCATTAGTCTTCTGCAGCCAGAGTCCTTTGCTCCGGCCAGACACTCTCTCAGGGTCACCCTTTCACCACCTTTGGCCTGGCACGGTGTGCACTTAAGTCTCCAGGGGGATGGCCCATGGGCTTCCTATCTCCATCAAAGGGCAGGGGGAGGCTGGGTTTGTGAGCATCTTGGTATGAGCGAGGGTGTGTACAAGTATGAGTGTGAGTGTGAGTGGGCATCTGGATCTCTGGGTGCTCCTCTAACTATTTCGCAAACACAGATAAGTACGGGTGATTTCAGGATTAGTCCTCATTGTGCGCTGTGGACACTCCCACTCATCTCTGAATTTCTCTGGCTCTCAGTTTGCCCGTCCAGAACAGAGGCATCAGATTGGTAACCCGAGGCAGTGTGGTGGATTGTCCTTTTGCTCCCTGAGATCTGTTGCCCGCTTTGCAGAGAGTTTCGTATGCTGACCCATTGCTGTATGGCTCTGCTACCTCCCTGTGAAAGGAATATACTTCCTTGCCTAGTGTCAGGCTTGGTCTCAGGTGACGTGTTTGGCTAATGAAACATGAGCAGAGGGGATGCATGCCAGTTAAGAGCAGGCGCCACAAGAGCCACTGTGTGTGTCTGCCAACTCTCTTTTTCCTCCCTGTGCTAGGAGGATGGCTTTCCCGGCCTGGGGCTGCTCCTGAAACCTAGGGCTCTAGATTGAGGACAGCAGGAGGAAGCAGAGCCACAGACGACCACCCAGCAGCCAACATGGAATCCTTATTTGGGGGCTGTTTGTCACTATGGCCTACTTGATGCTCACCAGGACATGCAGGGACAGCAGATATGCGTATACCTGCTGTCCCAGCCTGTTCCCAACTGACCATCCTTGCCTGCTGACTCCAGAAGTAGCATCCGAATCCTTCTCAGCACAGAGCTCCAACAAACTGGAGTTGGCACAGGAGACATAACCCCATTTACCTGCTGGATTTTAAGTTGTCTTCCATACTATTTTGGTTAAAAATGTAAGGATCTTGTTTGGGAGCCTGCACTGGGGCTGAGACTAAGTGTGCCTAAGAAAAGTCCACTGGAGTGGGAGGATATGGCTTGTCCTGGCTTAGCTGAGAGGCTCTGGGGGCAGCTGTTCCCCATGGGGTAATGGCTGTGGCTTAGCGCTTTTTCGCCTGAGGGCCCCAGCTGGCAATGTGGGAGTTTGCTGAGACTGGGGTGGCCAGGGCTTAGCAGCTTTGCACAGGTGGGCAGGCAAGAAGCACAAAGCCGGTCTCTGGAATAATGCAGCCTAGGGCTTGGGACCAGCCAGCCCCGGAACACTAAAGGCAGGTGGTAACCCAAGGAGGTCTCAGTAATCATGCCTGTGGCACCTGCCACTGGCTGCTGTTTTGACTTTTCTAGCATTGGAAAACGTGATAGTAAGCTCACTGAGGACAGTGTCAGGGCTATAGAATGATGATCATAATGACAGCTTATAATGATTATTGTGTCAGGCGTAGCACTGATGCCTTATACATATAATGCTTTTAATTCTCACAAATCCTGTGAGACTGATACCATTTCTACCCCCATTTTACATATGAGCAAATTGAGGCTCATGGAGGTTAAGTTGCTTGCCAAGGTCACATTGCTGCTAAGGGGTGGAATCAGGACTCAAGGCCAGGTCCGCTGACATTCCAGAGCTTTAGGCTCAAGCCACTAATTCTTTCATCTCCCCGTGATGAGGGGTCCAGGTCAGTGAACATTCTTAAGAGTAGGGGCGAAACAGGCAACAGATAACCTCTGAGCAGCCCTGACATCTACCAGGGAGGCTGTCCTGCGTGAGACCTTGGGAAAAGTCCCCTGACCTACCCCAGTCTCTGTGGCATGCTCTGTCCAAGTCTCTTCCAACCTGTTTAGGGCAGAAGGGTGAGGACAAGAGCGAGACCGACTTGAGTGCTGTTCTCACCAGCAGGTTGTGGATGGCACAGACGGAGAGTGAGAATGGCCTCTGGAATTGGAGTCAGATGGCTTTAAAACAAAAAATTATATGCCCTGAAAACCATAGCCTCAAGGGCTTGGTGGGCTTGGAAGTTGGAAGCATGATTTTTGGCTGTTGCATAACTATATTTTTCCTCTTTGAAACTTGCTGCAACTTAGAGGGGCGGGACAACAGCAGATCTCAGGGCCTCTGTCCCTCCCCACACTTTCTTTCTTTCTTTCTTTATTTTAGAGACAGGGTCTTGCTGCCACACCTAGCTAATTAAAATAATTTTTATTTTATTTTATTTTAAAGACACAGGATTGCTGAAGCTGTTGCTGAGGCTGGTCTCAAACTCCTGGCTTCAAGCGACTGTCCCACCTTGGCCTCCCAAAGTACTGGGATTACAAGGTGTGAGCCACCAAGCAGGGCCTCTGGAACCAGGTCTCATTCTATCTCTCCAAGTTCCCCTTTCCCGAGAGAAAACTCCACGTTTTGTAAAAGCATCAGTTATCAGAGCAGGAAAGGATGTCAGAGGTGCTATCCCAACAGACCCATTTTGCAGATGAGGAAACAGAGGCCCTGGGCAGCAGACTAATTTGTCAAGGAGCGGGGGCCCAAGGTCTCCCTGACCACAAAGCCTTGTAAGAGTTCCCAGGATCATGCCCCACCCCAAATGGCCCTCAGCTTCTCACCAGGAGCTGCTTCACAGGGAAATCCTTCAGACTGCCATCTCGGGGGGAGTCCAGCACCACGGGAAAGCCTTTGTGGGGGGCCTCGATGTATCCAAACTCAATTTCATCCTGTGGGGATACCAAGGAGAGCTGTCAGGGGAGCCCATGAATTGCAGTCAGGCTGGGGGGGGCGTGCGGGGAGGGGTTGGGACAAACAGATCTGTGGCCAGGGCGGACGACTTAAAAAGCACAAAAGTGAACGGAGGGAACAGTAAGTCCCCCTCACACCCTGTCTCGAGGTCCCCCATCCTCCTCCCTGCCAGCTAAAGATGGCAGCACGCCTCTCCGCAGGCCGTCTCAGCGTATCACAAGCACATTTCTTACAGATTTGGGACCCGATTTAAAAATACATAAATGGCAGCATCCAGAATATACAGTAGAACCTCTGTAAGGTGACCACCCAACGTACAGAAGTGGTCAGCAGAAGGAACTAGGCCTGCTGTATTGATACATACATGTGGTGCATGTCTAGTCTATGACAATTAAGTCAACTTTAGGAGGTGGTCAACGATGGAGGTTCGACTGTATTTTCCTTCAAGTAACAACTCAACTTGATGAGTGTTCTGTATCCATATTTATAGACTGGCTTTGTTCTTTTTAGCTATTGCACAGAATTCCACAGGAAGGCTGTCACCCTGTCCCCTCCCCCAGGGATGGGCATTTTTGTTGTACAGTCTTTGGTGACTACGAGAAGCAACATTGCATTGAATTGCCACTGTGTCCCCAGGTATGTGTGCGCATATGAGCTGGCAGAAGAAATCCCATTCATGGGGCTGCTGGGTGCCGGGTGGTTTACTCTAGGCCAGCTCTTGTAGCCTGATCCCCAGGCCACGTCCTTCCCAGCCAGGGCGTGGGCTCCTCACCTGGATCCAGCGGTCGCCTCGGTTGATGTACTGGAAGCAGACCTTCAGCTCACAGTTGGTTTTTTCCACCAGGTTCTTCACTTCTTTCAGGAACAGGTAATTATCCTTCATGCTGAGAAGTTGGGGGAAGAGGAGGAGGCCAGGAGGGAGGGTGAGGGGGGACAAAGGCCCTGCCCTGGTGGTGACAGCAGCTGGCAACTCCGGGCAGATGAGGCCACATCTGTGTTCATGGTCACTTTTGTAAAAGCTGCTAGAACTGAGGGCCCAGGATGCTAACCCACTCATGTGGTAGGTGTCAAGGTCATGAATAAATAAAATGAGGGGGGAGCTGTCCCCCCCACATGTCTCAAAGCCTTACATCTCTGAACCCCCAGATTTCCACAAAAGAGCTATGCCTGGCATGAAGATGGTATGGGCCCACAGACGTTGGGGGTTCCTTTCAGGGCTCCCAGTCATCTACCTGCAGCCACTTCTGTCCCTGGCTTCTCATCCTTCTGTGAATCTAGCTCTTAATAGGTGTTCAATAAAAGTTTTCTTAAGGAGTAAGATGAATTGAGTGTCTGCTGCACAGCAAGTTCCCAACTGCACAGTAGGGAGTTAAGCAAGAGGAAAGAGATGGCGGTTACTGTTTTTAGAGTGCGTGTCTGTGCCGGGACACTGGATCAATGCTTTGCCTTTCCATCTCATTTAATCCTCGCAGTGACCCTATGAGAAAGTGAGACACAGAGGCCAAGTGCTCAAGGTCACACCCATGGTAAGTGATGGAGCCTGGAACTGAGCTCAGATCCACGTGACCCTGAAGCCCCCAGCTGCCTCTCTGGGCCGCGGCCACCACTTACCAGCACACGAACACTGACACAGGAGGCAGGATGTTGGGGGTCATGATCCACGGAGCGATCCGGAATACCACGGTGTCTGTGAAGATGGGTGTCAGGGGAATGTCCTGGGGGGGGGGAGAAGAGAGGATGAAAAAGTCTCCTCAGGGTGTTTTCTCCTCCTGTCTCCCAAAGCAGGTGACACTGATGACCATAGTATATTTCCTGAGCACGAACTGTGTGCCAGGCCCTGTACTATGAATTTTTTTTTTTTTTGTAGTTTTTGGCCAGGGCCGGGTTTGAACCCACCACCTCTGGTATATAGGGCTGGCGCCCTACTCCTTGAGCCACAGGCACCATCCTGTGCTAAGAATTTTCATAGGTACCAGTTCGTTTCTGCCTTATAACTACCCCAGGAGGTAGATGCTTTTCTTTTTTCTTTTTCTTTTTTTTTTTTGAGATGGAGCCTCAAGCTATCCCCCTGGGTAGAGTGCCATGGCATCACAGCTCACAGCAATCTCCACCTCCTGGGCTCAAGTGAGTCTCCTGACTCAGCCTCCCAAGTAGCTGGGACCACAGGCGCCCGCCACGACGCCCAGCCATTTTTTAGTTGCAGCCATCATTGTTGTTTGGCGGGCCCAGGCTGGGGATTCAAACCCGCCACCTTGGGTGTATGTGGCTGGCACCTTAGCCGCTTGAGCCATAGGCGCCAAGCCGGTAGATGCTTTTCTAATCCTCACTTTCAGATGAGGAAACTGAGTCACGGAACTGTTAAGGAATTGTCCAAGGTCACATGGTTAGTAACTGGCAGGATTGGGCTTTACATGTGAGAGGTCCAGCCTCTGAACTCACACTCAGCCACTGTCCTATCTTCCCCTTCAAAGTCCTCCTGAAGTCAGCCCACATGGCGGCCAAGCCAACCCCAGGCGCTCCTCTCTTTCCCTCTGACTACCTTCCCCTTCCTACATGTAAGCATTTGTTTGAGATCAATTTTGCTATGTCCAAACCGTTCTTTAAGAAGTGGGAGAGAAAAGGAGGCATGATTCTCGGGTTCCTTTGTGAGGCTGGCCTTGAAAAGCTATAGGAAATGGGCCCTTCCCTGGAGGGAGGATGGGGCATGGGGCTGAGGGCACAGCTGCCTTTCTTGCCCTGTCTGTCTGTGAGTCTCTGCTGGTGCCTGCTGGAAGGGCCTGTCTGAGAGATCCTGGGAGCCAGGCTTCCCTGGGCATAGAGGAATCAGGAAAAGTCCCTTTCCCGCCCCCCATCCTGATGGCATTGCCTTTTTTGCCTTTTCCCCTTCCCAGGGAGCATGGGGGTATTTTTGTGAGTGAGGACTTTGCACGTTTGCACACTCATGACCACTCCACGCGGTAGATACTTTGGTCTTTTCTGTTTTGCGATGGGGAAACTAAGGCACAAGGAGGTTAATCCACTGGCCCAAAGTCTCATGGTGGTTAAACCAAAATTCAGACCTAGGCGGTCTGATTACAGAGCCCGTTCTTATAAGTCTGAGCTAGACACAATGTCACCCTTCTACAGAACTCATTGTGTCCTGTCCTGAAGTGGACCAGGGGTAAAGATGGGGAGGAGCTCCCGGATCTGGGAGAGCAGCTAGGCCCTGTCTGCGAGATCCTTTTTCTAAGTGAAACAGGGTGGGCCTGGGAGCCTGGAGTCTGGGGGGCGGGGAGAGTGAAAGGTCTTTGTGATGAGAGATTCTCATCTGCAGGGCACACCCTCAGCATTGGGGGCTTCTCTAGAGGGACAGGGGCTCTACTCTTCATCCAGCTCCCCCCAAAGCAAGAGCAAAGCGGGCTGAGATGTCTGGCTACAGGGTAGGACACATCTGGAAACCAGGATTTGAGGTTCAGCCTGTGGTCAGAGTTGGTATAACCCGCAGTTGGGGTGAGGAGTAGGTAGGGAGGAGGGAGAAGGGGGCGCAGAGTAGGTGGTCAACAAGTCTAACACGTGTGTCTTAGTTAGAGCCTTGGGCTAACCATGGGGACTCTGTGCCTTGGAACTGGGCATGGTGCAGGGCAGACCAGGGCCCAGACATAGGGGAGCAGGTGCAGTGAGGAGGAGGATGCCAAGAGCACAGCTCAGAGGACCTTGGCAGCTGTGTGGGCTGAGGGGGCATTGAGGTCTCCCAGCCTGGGCTCTCCACCTTGGCGCTTAGAGGGGAGTGGAGCACAGCATGGAGTCCTGAGAGTGGCACCACCCTGGCCCCACCCTGGCCCCCAGGAGGCCTGGAGCCCTCACCTGGGCCATATACTCGAGCAGGCTGACGTGGATGGACACCAGGCCTGAAAAGCCCTCATCGGGGAAGCGGAGGCCTTCCACGAAGAACAGCAGCTCTGCGGAGCCGCCTGTGTACTTGACCAGGTGGTGGAGCTTCCGCCGGCCCAGGATGTGGATGTAGCGCTGGCCAAAGAATGGGTCTGGGGGAAAAAGACTGACGTCAGGTCCCTGCCCCCAACCCCATGGGGAAGAGCTCAGTGGGGTGAGACTGGTGACATGGACAAGAGGGCAGAGTGACTCGTCCTCTAGACACAGAGAGAAAAGCACAAGCAGAAAATGCCCCCAGAATGGCCGTGGCCCTGCCATTGTCATCGTCCTGGCACTGCCACCAGTTGCCCTCTCTGGCTTCTGGCTTCCTCATCTATAAAATGAGTAAGCTCTTTCATGGAAGGCTGTGGGAAATGCTAGCGGATGGAACTGAGGAGCTAGTGAGGCTGGGGAAGGATATTATGGTTCCCATTTCACAGATGAGGAAACCAAGTTTCAGAAAGGAGGAATGACTAGTTCAATAGGGAGTACGTGGCTGAGCTGGGACTCAAATTTACGTTCAATTCTGAATTCTGAGATCCAATCCCTTGTGTAAAATGTACTCATTTGTACCCCAGACCCCCCTGCCCATAACAGAAGGTGCATTGGTGTAAAGACAAAGGCACGCGTCTCTGGCTGTCCACCTGTGTGGCTGGGGGGAAAGGCAGTTTTCTCCACTGCCTCTGCCCCACTGAGATCACCCAGCTCACCATGTGCTGCTCCCTCTGCTTGGACGGTCGTGTCCCTCCTTCCTTCAGGCCTCAATTTGTGTCACTTTCGGTAATCCTGTCTGGATCCCCAGAGACCAAGCCAGGGAGCTGCCACAACCCCCTGTCCTCCCATAGTACAGCCTTGATAACCACGGGGGTGACCTATGCCAGGGCAGAGATAGGCCCAGGAGGCCCAGGGTCTGCTCAGGACACGGTCATGTTCAATAAATGTCTACCGAATGAACCAGTGGCTCTGGGACCACTCCTTATAGGAGAGGATGACAGGGAATTTTCACGCTGATTTCTCGATGAACTGAATTGCTATTCTGTGACCAGCATGGGCAAGGGCCCTGGAGGGAGACAGAGGTAGCTGAGATGCAGCACCTCCTCCCAGCAGTGCGTGGCTGATGATAAGATAGAGCCGATGTGGGAAGTGTTTAACATCAGCTGAGGCAGCTCCGGGTAAGACCCCGTCTGGTTACTCAGGGTAGGGGGGAAGGAGGGGTAGAAAGCGTGGGGCAGAGGAAGCAGCCTTGAAACTCTGAAATGCTCTTGTAGGGTGGCAGAGACGGGTGCACTGGGAAGGGGAGATACTTGCTTTGGCAAAGGCATGGAGGTAGGACCCTATGCAGTTCCAGAAGGAGTTTCTTTATGCCCTGTAGAGCTGGAAGAATCAAGCTCCGCTTAGTGCTTACAACAACAAAGATAATAGTTAATGATCAGTTGCCCAAGGGTGGGAACATGTAACCGGAACAGTCCTGGCATAGACAAGGTGCTTGCTTAAAACTTACGAAATGAATGGATGAAAGCCTAGGGTTGGAATGGCTCGCCCTGTAGAATGATGTGCTCAGCTAGACCCTGGTTAGACATCTCACTAAGGGCGGTTACTTTAGTGGTTATGACTTTCAATGTCAGAGAGACCTTGGTTCAAGTACTGCGTTGGCTTTATGAGAATGAATGAGCAAATGCATTCCCTGAGTGAATACCTCAGGGATTTTACTTAATCTTCCTGAGCCTCAGTTTACTGATCTGTTAAATGGGGGATAATAATAGTTAATGCTACCAGGTCATTGCCAACAGAACAGCCTCAATAACTTCAGTAACCTTGGTAATCACAGGTAACCATTGGTGACACTGCTGAGACCTGTTGGTATTGTGAATATGAGAATCTGAGAATGAGTAGCACTCTCCTTACTACAAAATTCAGGCCTTTTTCATTCAACATTCTGAACAGAAGGTAAAGAAATAACATCTCACCTCATCCTCCCTTGTGGTGGTGGGTTAGAGTAGGGGAGGTGTCTAAGAAATGAGGTGGGAAAACTTAGACACTGAAGTCCTAAGGAATGGAAAGTGGGGTTCTGTTCACCCAGAAACAGCAGCATGTGCCCAGTCGCTGAGTGGATCGGATGGACCTGATGTCTAGGAACTTCAGCCCTCCCACACCCACATGTGCCAGGTTGCACTTGAACTGAAGCTGAGGGAGAGATGTCAGGTCTAGAAACCAACTTGTTTCCCCAGAAGCAGCAAAGCCAAAGCTTCCCCAGGGGTGGGACAGCTACGGGGCTCCATCAGGGCTGGCGGCAGGAGTGGGGATCTGGCCAGGGTTGGGTTGGAAGACACATTCTGATCCATCTGCCGGCCAGCGCTCTTTCCCTCCCAGTGTGGCCTGTGATTCACAATGTGTCTCTATCCTGGGCCTCTTTCTGGAAGTTTGGGCCAGCTCCAGGCAGATTGGTTTCTTGGTAGGAACAATCCAGGCATTGTCCTCAGGAATCTCCTTCTCCCACCCCTGTCCTGCCTCTGTCCCCAGCTCAGTGAAGACCCTGCTCTGAGCATGGCTGGCTCTGCCTGCAGGAGCTGACAATGGCCCTCTATTGAATGGCACTGATGCCTTGGACTGGGCCCACCAGCCATCGTGACCTCCCCTCAGCCCTAGGCCTTGGCCCCTGCTGGCTGGCACATGGCATGGTTTGGTATAATGCATTGAGTTACTTTGGAATGATTCTACTTCCCAAGGAGACTCCTTGACACTGTGACCAACTGTCTTGGTTTGCCTGGGATTGAGGGGTTTCCTGGCATGAGGAACTTTCAGTGGCAAAACCAGAAGTTCTGGGTAAACTGGAACAAGTTGCTCTCCATATCCTATCGGTAGAGGTAAGACCCCAGTGCTGAGGCTGGAACACAGGTCTTCTTTCCACTCCAGTCCTTGTAATTAATGTCACCATGACAATGCCAACTGCCATTTATAGAGAACTTTCTGAAGGCTATCTATTGCAGCTAGTGCCTGGCACACGTTCCTCAGTAATCCCTATTGCTACCTGGGACAGTTTCTTTAATCCCAGGCCACTTCACAGACGAGGACCCCAAGGCCAGGGCTAGTGGGGAGACTTGCCTGAACCCATGATCTGAACCTTCCTGACTCCAGACCCTCCTCTTGGGGTCCCTGAGTCTCCAATCCTGCCACTGGGGAGAGCTGGCCTGCCCCTATCAGGACACAGGTGTTCAGGTAACACATTGTGTTGTCATTCACTGGTGTACTTGGAATTTGACAAATTCTCAAAATGTTTGCGTGTAAGAAAAGGAAATTGTGCCGCAGATCAATGATCTGTCTTCCTGTTTGTATCTGCGTGGCTAGTCTTCATCTAGGAGTCTGCCTTTGTGGGAAACTGACTATTCTGGGTCACCACTGTCTCAGTAACGGCCGCTCCCCACAGGATGGGCAGCCCCAGATGAGGCAGATTCTGAGGCCAATTCTCGAAACCCTTGCAGAAGGAGTTCCTCTTTTTTCTGGTCTGCTCAGGATTCGTCTCAGATGGCAAGTGAGGGGGACAGATGTGATGGAACCAGACCAGAGTCTGCAACCATTAATAAAAAGAAGAAACCTCCAGACAACACCCAGATAGCACTATTAGCATTGGGTCTTGTGCCACAACACACAGATGAAGAAGACCAGGCTGAGGTCCTGCCTGCTCCCCTCCTAACCCCCTGCTGGTGACCTCAGTCCCCACGGCAAACCTGGGCTGGATGGTGTAAATATCAACATCTCTGACCCCCTGGGGCAGTAAAGCCAGCCTGACTTTGAGGACATTCCAACCTGGGCAAGGTCACTGCTTGTAGCTGAGGGTGGATCAGAAGGAGAGCTGGCATTGGGTGGCTGCTGTCCACTGCTGTCCTGGCTAAATTGCTCCCTGAGTTGAGGGTCCAGGGCTCCCATGACCCACTTCTCATGGTGACTGCCCTATTCAAAGATGGGCCCAGGGCTAGGCCAGTGTTCCTGGACACCCCCATCGCTGTGCCCCCTGCACTGTGGCAAATTGCAAAGCTGCCTGTTTTGCTGAGGGAGCTTTTTTGATACATAAATCAAACCTTGGCAGGCCCGAGCTAAAACCCTCTAATGGCTTTCCATTGCACTCAGAATAAAGTCCAAGGCCTGTCTGCATGCTCTGGCCCCTGGCCTGGCTCACTGACCTTGGCTGCCGACATCCCCCTACTTTCTGGTCTTCTTTCTACACAACACTCCAAACTACCCCTCTCTCTGTGCTCTGTAGGCACCAAGCCCTCTGTTTAGAACTCCTCTCTCAGTTCGCAGTACTGGTTCCTTCTTCCTGTTTGTTTCAGACTCAGCTCAAATGCCACCTCCTTATGAGGCCTTTCTGGACCACCCATCCAGTGGCACCTCTGTTCTGCCATCTCTGTTACCTGGTCCCTATTTCGCTTTCTCCCTTTGTGCTATTGATTACGTCTCTCAGGCTAGACGGACAACTCCTCGAGGTCATGATGTGATTGTTGTGTTCACTACAGAGATCTCAGTGCTGACATCAGCGCCTGGCCCTGAGGGGCTCAACACATAGTCATAGAAAGAATGAGACCCTATACGGCAGGGTCCCAGGAGACCCTGTCGCCATCAAGGGGAACAAGGGATCAACTCTTGAAGCATCTTCTATAAAAATTAAAGATGGCAGAAAACACTTACAGGGGGTGTGGGCCCTGTCTCAGGCTTCACAGAGGCCACGTGATGCTGGACGTAGGGCAGCTGAAATGCCCTTCATCTCCTGGTTCATCAGGAAGAGGGGCCCCTGGGTTCTACATAGACCACGTCCCTGTGGACTCCTTTGAGAGGAGGAAAGATGGAGCCCTGTGGAGACTTCACGGACAGCAGCATCTCCTGGTTACAACTAACCTGAATCCTATCCTGCTATCTTTAGCATCTGTGCCTGCAGGAATAGGCAACTGCTAAGGGGAGGTGGGTAGGCGGCCTCGGAAGGCTGGGCTGGGGTCACTCACTCTCCACGTAGAATACGCCCACTTTGTCCGAGTCCGACATGGAGATGTAGAGTGTTATCTGGTATCCAGCGGGGAGGCGGTCGGGGCCTTTGGTCCGCAGGATCATCTGGGACATGTCCTTGAGGTCTGCAGGCAGACATGCGGGAAGTTAGACCTGTCGTGCGGACCCTGGCTTACTGCTGCCTTTCACTTTTACAATTAGGGAAAAGAAATCCCCACAGATGTGTATTATGAAAACTACAGAAAAGTATAAAGGAGAATAAAAAAAACCAAGTTCTCATCTCCAACGCTGGAGACTACTTCCTATTAACCTTTTGAGAATTTCTTTCTGGTCCTTCCTACATATGTGGGTAACTTAAAAAAATATATATAGTTCTAATTGGACTGTATTTACAGTTTTGTCTTCTGCTTTGAGCAAGAGAGGGTATTTGAGCCTACCATCCCAGGGGTCTCAAGTTCACGCTGGCCTCACCCTTGGCCCAGACCCAGATTGGCAGGGATCGTTCCACTGCCTCCCCCGCCAGCACCTTCCTTGCTGTAGACTTTGTCATCACTGCAGTCCTCTTTGGGCAACCAGGGTGTTTCTCGGTCACAGTTCACCAGCAGGATGGCCCCCTGGCCCTCGGGGCCCCAGGTCCAGGATCCCTGAGTGACAGGAAGAGAGGTTAGTGGCTGCTTTTTTATCCTAGTACTGACCCTGCAGGACACACAGCCCAGGGTGAGGACAAAGAGTAGCCACCACCTACTGGGGCAGCTGTGACCTGGAAAATGTGAATCTCAAGATTGATGCCCACAGAGGATCAGTGTAGCATCAAAGGGCAGCTTGACATGCTCTGAGTCTCTAAACGGGGCCCGCGTGGTGCTCCACTTTCTGTGCTGCAGCCAGAGCTCTGTTAGAACAAACTCGGACCAGATCATGATGCTCTCAGAGGCGTCAGGAGCTCCTGGGTGACTTAGGATGAAGTCCCGACTCCTCGCTGTGGCCTACAAGGCCTGGCAAGGCCTACCCACCTGTCTACCTCCCTCTACCCTGTTTATGGCGCTCTGCCAGCCTGGTACCTTTCTGCTCCACAAAGACCCAAGCTCCTGGGCCTTTGCCTATGCAGGTCCCTCCACCTGGAACACCATCCTGCCTCTTTCCACCTGGCCAGCTTGCCTCCTCCTTGATCACAGCGTGCTCGTCCCTTCTTCCTGGAAGCCCTTCTGATTGTCTAGAACAGTGTAGCTCCCCCAAGTACACACCTGTGTGTACCTCCTTTTTGGGAGGACTCAGGGTGATTATGGTGACACAGCTGCCCACGTCATCCTTTATTTAATGTGGACTGTGGGCTCCCTAAGGCAGGAGCTGTGTTTCCTCTTATTTCTTCTGCATCCCCGCAGCCTGCCTTACTCCTGGAATATAAAAGATGCTCAACAAATGTTGATGAGATGAATGAAGAAAAGGTGAAAACCTAATTGGCCCAAGTGGAGAAACTCCTGTCGAGGTCCAGCTCATCTGGATTGTGTGACTTTGCCAAGATCTCAGAGCCCCGTGGAGGAGGTTGGGAGCCTTCTCCCCGGGGCTGCTGGGCCTCAGAGGCCTCTAGGGAGTCCACTGCCGCATGCCTTGGCCATAGAGACAGGGCATGGTGTGTGCGGGAGCTGACCTGGAGCTGAGGCAGAGCCCTACTCCAAAGCCTGAAAGAATGGGCTCCCCAATAGGCCTGAGAACCCCGACCCCACCTGCAGCTGAGCAGCCTGCCCCTGCCTTCTCATTGGACTGTATTCATTTTAACCTAGGCTTTAGAGTGTTGTAATGGAGTCATATACGTATATGACCAAAAATATGGCAAAAATTTACATGAAACAAAGGGCAGAAAATAGCAAGTGGTTAGAAGCCACAGCCTAGATGCGTGCAAAGCAGAACTGATGGAGCTGGCCAGGTGTGGTGGCTCACACCTGTAATCCCAGCACTCTGGGAGGCTGAGGCAGGTGGATTGCTTGAGCTCAGGAGTTCAAGACCAGCCTGAGCAAGATGGAGACCTCATCTCTACTAAAAATAGAAAAATTAGTCGGGCATCGTAGTATGTAGTCCCAGCTACTTGGGAGGCTGTAGCAGGAGGATTCCTTGAGCTAGCAGTTTGAGGTTGCTGTGAGCTATGCTGCCACGGCATTCAACCCAGGGCAAAAGAGTGAGACTCTGAGTCAAAAACCAAACTAACAAAAATAAAAACCAAAACTGATGGAGCTTAAAAACTGAATTGAGGAAAAAACATGAAACAGAATGATATTGAGAACACCATGTTCACTATCTGGGCAAATTAAAAATAGACACACACCAACCACACCAGATGTTTCCCAAGAATTCTAAGAACAGAAATAGACACATTAAGCCCACCAAAATGGTCCTTTGTGGGGGAGCAAATGGGTGTGTGGAATGCAAGACAAAAGATGGTAAGTAAATAAATAAATGAACGAATGGATGAATGCAGGAAGGAAGAGAAACAGGAGAGGGAGGCCAGCGCGGTGACTCACGCCTGCAATCCCAGCACTCAGGGAAGCGAGAGGGTGGATTGCCTGAGCTCAGGGGTTCCAGGTCAGCCTGAGAAAGAATGAGACTCTGTCTCTGCTAAAAATAGAAAAAACTAGCCAGGCATAGTGGTGCACACCTGTAGTCCCAGCTACTTGGGAGGCTGAGATAAGTGAATTGCTCAAGCCCAAGACTTTGAGGTTACTGTGAGCTATGATGACATGGCGCTCTAACTGAAGGTCGCAGAATGAGACTGTGTCTCAAAAAAAAAAAAAAAAAAAAAAAAAAAAAGGAAGAGGAGAGGGGCTGTGCAGGCACCATCACAGATACTGATGTGCCTTGAAGCAAAAATCATGAAAGTAACCATCTGAGGGTCTCTCCCTGCTGCCTCAGTTTTAAAAGAAAATGCAGAATAATAAGAACAAAAGCCTTCACGGCACTTTCTCTGTTGCGGGCACATTTACGCTTTCTGATAGTTCTTTCTCAGGCACATTTATTCTTTCCCTTCCCATGGACAGGGAAACTGAGACTCAGGAACCTGCTTGCTCTGTAGCTCTCTCTATGAGGCTGGGCTCCCGGGTGGGCTCTGTCGTGGGCATGCTGTGTGTCTGGGGGCCTGTCTTGGACCTCAGTCTCCTGGTCTATGAAATTGGAGCTGTCTGCTTGGGGGGAGGGGACCATGGCTGCCTGTAGGATCCAGTCTGGCGCTCAGGCCTTGGAAGCCCCCAGTTCAGGGTAGTGTCTGCCCTGCCTCTGTCCTGCCAGCTGGGTACCTTCTTTGGGTTGTTTTTCTCCACCACGCCATCCCGGTCTGCGTCCACGTCCAGGGAGATTTCTGGGGACAAGAGACATGGGTGAGTTGGTGAACCTGACTAATAGGGTGGGGTGTGCACATGAGGAAGACCTGAGGAGTTAAGGTAGTCCCACCCATTCACTTGCTCACTGGAAAGGAAGGGCCTTGCTAGGGTCATCTTATCCAAGTCCTGGCCTAGACCTCCCACTAGCTGCTGCAGAACGTCAGCGGACATGGTGCAAACTTTGTAGCTTTAAGAGGCGCTGCCAGGTGGGTCAGGCTGTCCCACGACTTCATTGTTCTGGCTGGGGGTGTCTGGGAGGGGATGACCCTGGCTGCACAGTTCTGGGAGCCACAGTTCAGACAGGTGAAGTCACATGCCCAAAGTCACACAGGTGATGCTAGCAGAACCGGGGTATACAACGTAGTTGGTCTGATCCTTATGTAGCTCATATTTTGAAAATTTCCAAGCACACAGTCCCCTAACTGCCTTTCCAAGTCTGTCCTGGGCATGTGTATAGCGTGTGCACACATGCGACCACATGTGTGCGTGTCTTCTCCCAGAATTCCCATGGTCTGGATTCTACCTCCAAGGACGGAGGGTGGGAAACTGTGCCTGCAGCCCCTTTCAATCTGAGGATGCCTGTGAGTCCAGGGCTCCAGATAGAAGGTCCAGGGCTAGGCTCCCACTTATTCCTTTTCTTGGGGAAGGGACCTTCAGCATTCAGAGGATTGCCATAGAGAGGCTTTGTGGAGACTACAGGGAAGTGAAAAAGTTTAGCATCAGACACTGTTGGATTCCAACCCTGGTTCTCTGCTTAGCTGTGTGACTTCGGGTAGGTCAGACAACATCTCTGAGCCCCAGTTTTCTCCCTTCTCACAAAGGGCCCTTCCCAGTTACAGCAGGTGCATGAACTGCAATAGTAGGCAAATGCTGAGCCAGGGAATTCTTTGTTATGGGGTCGCCCTGTGTATCGTGGGATGCTTACCATCATCTCCGGCCTCTACCCACTAGATGCCAATAACCACCCCCACACACACCAGTTGTGATGACCAAAAATGTCTCCAAATACTGTCAAATTGTTCTGGGGAGGCAAAATTGCCCTGAGTTAGAGACTGAAAGGGCAAGGTAGGGAGTGTTGTTGGGAGTATCACAAAGATGACATGTGTCAGTTCCAGGCCCTTGGAGCTGCCCAAGTGGGCTTGTCCCATGCTGAGCATGACTTGGACCACGGGTGGGAATGAAGGCATTCCTGGTCAGTCCCCTTGGTAGGCGTGCCTCCTGCCTTTCTGGAAGGAGGGTGGGAGGAAGGTTCTGGCAGAGGAAGGACACTGACATCACCCTTCTCCAGGGCAGCTCAGCCCAACTGAGTCCCGGGATTACACTCAAGCCCTCCCTCTGCCTGTGGCTTGACTCCTTCCTGACCCCACGTGTGGTCTAACTCACAGCCCTGCCATGTTAGACACTGTAGGTGTAATTTATAAACTCTGCCCACCAGTCCCATTCTCACATCACTTTTGAGCCGCTATTGTGTTCTGGACCCTGGGACCATAGGCACACTGCCTGCTCACAGGGAGTCTCCATCCTGGAGATGAGGAGCACCGCTCCCATTTCCCAGGTGAGCAAACCCAGGCTCAGAGAAGTTGCTGGCTTGCAAATGGGCTGGGATTCTGGGAAGCTGGTGCAGAATAAGGGTTGTAGAGGAAAAAGGAGGTCGTACCACCAGCAACAATCACAGAGATCACAGAGGCTGAAGGCTCTGCTGCAGGAGCAACATTGGTTTTGGCTCCCAGAGCTTGAACTTTCCAGCCAGTCACACCCCAGTGAATGCCGCCTTTCAGGGAGCTGGCTTCCCTTCCCACTGCAGACCCAGCTTGCTTCTCATGATAACAATCTCTTCCCTATGGGCCCTTCAGTCTGCAGCTACAGAGTGTCAGGTTCTCCTCTCAATCATGGGGTGGGTGGGGGCGTTATCTCTCCCTCCCCCAATACAGACAGGAAACCCACCAGGGGTTCCCCCAGCGCACAGAGCCAGGTCCCCTCATTGGGCCTCTGACTCTAGGTCTCTGCTCTTTGCTGCTCCCTCCACTGCCCAGGCCATGTCTGCCTGCAAAGTCCTAACACCTGCTGCCCCAGGGTCACCCCCAGAGGAGGCGGCCACATCCACCTTTAGGCTATAAGGTGATGCCATGCCCCAGGGTGGAGTGCATGTTAAACCCGTGAGTCACAGGAGAGGAGTGTGAAGTGCTTTGGGCCACATTATGTCATTATGAATTTCTTATATTCAAAAAATGTGTTAACGTACTATTCGTACGTAATGTAAAAAATATCAAATAAAACAGTAACTGACTGCTTCTAAGGAAAAGCAGCAGTTCCCTGTCCAGCCCTTCTCAGCTGCCCAAGGCAGCCTCCCTCATAATAAATAATACGCTTGTTGCTATTTCCCGGTTATTAAATTCAGAGAGGTTTCATTGCCTTCCTGTTGTGAAATTTTGACGTTTCATAATTAGGCTCTCTTATCACCCTTCTCCCAACCTCCCCCAGTGCTGCAGAATTTCTCTCTTCTGAGACATGACTTGTCCCCATAGCAACTGAAATGATCTCTTCCCCCCTCTCTCCTCCCTGAGAGGCTGTCATGGTACAAGTCCCTAGGACTTCTCCCCTGCAAGACGTCTCCCAGTGTCCAGTCCAGCTAGACTCCAAGCGCTGCAGGGGAGGACAGTAGGGCTGTTGTGACCTGCCCCCAGCACTGCCCTCTTGAGATGGCTCTGCCTTGTCCAGGGGAATGAGGGGCAGGACTTCTGTTTCAGGCCTCTGGGCTCCAGACGACATTTCTCGGAGGCTCTGGATCCTGCCTCAGAGCCCCAGAATAGCCCCAAGGTGTCAGGTGGCTCTTAATGGGAAATGTCACTAGGATTGAGTTCAAGGAAGTCTGCCCTGAGTCTCAAGATACTGAGGCCTCAGCTGTAACCCAGAGGCACAAAGATTTTGGCGGGCTGCTAGCCCCCTGGATGGTGGCAGGGTGCCTGGCCTTCTTGCCTTACTAAGCGGCTTGGGTGTGGTGGGAGGAAGGACTCCCTCCTCCACAGCCAACCAGAGCAAGTACCCCAGGCTGTGGGGAGGAGACACAGGGCTATCTCCTTAAGCTGATGCTAAAGTTCTCAAGACTCCAGACCCTGACATGTGTGTGCCACTCCCACTGCCAGGACCACAGCGAGGAAGGTGGGACTGTTCCTCCGTCCCTCTGCCTCCCACTTTTCCCCCTGAACAGAGCAGGTTTTGTGCATAGATCAGCCCTAAGCAGGGTCTTGAAGGTCTTCAGGGATTTAGCTGAAAACCCTCATTTTATAGCTTGGAAAAAGTGAGGCCACACAGCAACTCCTTGGCAAGATTAGGACCAAGACCCAGGATCTAATTTGGTCAAGGGCACCACAGGTTTGTCCCCAAATCCCAGCAGGAAGACTGAGGGACAGTAAGTTTCTTTAACTTCACCCAGGCAGAGAGAAAATGTGGCTACCCCAAGAGGAAGGGAGAAAAGAGAACACAGGCTGAGCACCCACTCTGTGCCTTGGCACACACGATCCCACTGAATCCTGGAAGCCCCACCCAAGAGTGCTCTGTGCAGCCCATTGTGCAGATGAAAAAACTGAGGCTCTGGGGGATAATGTGACTTGCTCAAGGTCACAATGTGGTGGGAGGGGCCCAAGCAGGAGCTTAGATTTATTTCTGTCTACTCTGACCCCAGGGCTCTTTCTGCTCAGTGCGAGCTCCCCGGGATAGGACAAGGACAAGACAGACTCACATAGGTCTTGGGGTGGGGGAAGTCCCAGCCTCTTAGGACATTCAAGGTGTCCCTGCCTTCCACGTGCTGCTTCTGAAAGATGCTTCAGGGTGGCAGCCTTGAGGGTTCCTGGCGCCTGGAAGGGACAAACTGACCAAGGCTTCCCAGGGAAACCAAATTTTCACCAGGGTCCCTGGTGGAACAGGAAACATGAGCTCAATGGGACAAGTGTTTCATAAAGCTTTGCTTTTGCAAAGTAAATGACTTATCTTTTTGTCTGAGATTATGCCCTATTTTTTAGGTGTTAGAATGATAGTGATAGTTGACGGCAAGTTGTTTTAATGCCTTTGGGGGAGGTGGGAGTAGAGGGAGAAGGGATATTTTGGAATGCATCTGCTCAGAACTTAGGGTTAGCTAAATAAACACTTGTTAAGCGAAAGCACACCCTCAGAACCTCAGAAGGATGGGCTCGGTCATTGCTCATGGGTGTATTTAGAATCTTTGGTGTCTCATCCCTGGGGCTCTCTCTGAGCACAAGCTTTGTAGTCTTGTGGAGAGGAAGAGTCTATCCTGCCTCCTGAGGGCCATTTATTTTGCTGTCTGTCCTAAGTCTATCTTGCTCTGGGGGAAGTCTTGCCTTGGTGGCGGAGTCAGCCTTGTGGGATCCCCCTCCCTTGACAGGTCCCTGGCGCCTACCCTTCCTGCCTATGTCCTCATGTGTCCCTGTCTCCGTGGGATCAGGTTTCCTCAGGGACAGTCATCCCAGACAGCCGGGAGACTCTGTGAATGTGTGCTCAGACACGTGCCAGGACTCAGCACAATCCCAGGGGCTTTGGTTACTATCTGCCAAGGCCCCCTGGGACTGTCCAGAGGAGGGCCTCACCCAGGATTGGAACCCCCTTCGTGCAGAAAGAGGGATGGGATGACTAGCAACCAAGCCCACTTGGGAATTAGCTCAGAAGCAAACAGCCCTGTTCTTGAGCCTGTCTCAGTAGCTAAGAGCACGGGCTGGAGAAGGCAGGGCTGGCTGGGGAGCACATTATTTTGGGGGGGGAGGTTCCAAGACCCTCTAAGAAGGTGAGATAACTAAAATGACTGTCCCATCAACCACTTTTCAGGGGAGAGGCCTCAGGCAAGGTTTTCTGTTCCTTTTCTGAGTCTTACTTTTCTCATCTGTAAAATGGGCTCAATAATGTCTATTATTATTATCCTTGGGATAATTGTAATAGATGGAAATCATAAAGGTAGGACATCGAATATTGGAGTCTGGCCAACTGTAGGTGCTTAATAAATGCCAGGCATTTATCACACACAACACGCCCTCCCCCCCAAGCACACAGCACAGCCCTAGCCACAGAGTAGGTGCAACAGAAGGCTGATCTTTTCTAAAGCGCTTAGGATATAGTTGGCTCTCAATAACTGGTAGTTCCCTTCCCCTGCCATGCTGCAATCTGTCAATTTAAACCAAGGCCGGATGAACAAAGTGACCCTCTGAACTATCCCCCTGGCTTAAACATTTTATGATTAAAAAATAAATAAAATAAAATAAAAGTAATGCCTCAACTGCAGGAGGGCTGAGTGCCCGAAGGTTCAGAGGATCACATTCCTAGGTCCTGTTGAGCCAGTCTGGGTCCCACCACCCCAGCACGCAGGCCTGGCACCCCAGCAAGGCCGTATGGGGCAACGGGTAATAATCCTGGGTTCTGGGTTCAACCTGCCATTGAGTTGCTGTGTCACTTTGAACAAGTTCCCTAACTCTCTGGGCCTGACTGTCCTTGTGGGTCAAATGAAGGGGTTAGGCTCAGTGAGTTAAGGATCCAGAGCCACCAGCCAGGGCTGGATGTGTGGAGGGTACAGGGGACAGCGGCTTTATAGGCTGTGGCCAATTCCCTCCCTATGAGAGGGAAGAAGCTCTTTTCCAGCTGTAGGAGAGAGGCAGGGGAGGGATAGAGTTTCCTTTTGCTCCTTGTGGTCCACCCACAGAAACTGGGAAGGGGACCCTGTCATTGGGTGAGTTGCTGGCAGATCAGGGTATGCCTCTTCCTGGAAGAAGCCCCCGACCCCAGCACAGAAGGGCCAGGACACCCAGAGACCTGCATTATTGAGAAGCTGCTCCAAGTACCAGGTCTGAGAAGGCAGTGGTGCCAGGCCCTGGCGGATGGGGGTACCGAGGCCGCAGCCACACCGACTCACCAATTGCTGTGAGGAAGAGCCCAGCCTGGTCGATGGGAACACTCCCCTCTTTGTCATAGTAGTTGATGGTGACCTTGGTGGGGAGGGGGTGCAGCAGGAGAGAGAGAAGAGCAGAGATCACAGATCACAAGCAAGAAAACGTGAAGTAACTGCCCCTCCCTGCCTCGTGCCGCCCAGCTTGTCAAGCCGACCTTCTCCAAACATCGGCACCCCCTCCTCCAGGAAGGAGGTTGGGGGCAGTTTCTCCCCGATAATCGAACTAGATGAGGGACTCCCCTCTCGCTGGCCCTGTGTGCAGCCAGGATGCCGTCTGCCTTCCCGTGCCCATGTGCATTCTGCAAAGTCCCCCATCTGCCAAGTTGTATGTCTAACTCCTGCTGAGCTCCCAGGACAGGGCTGAGGGTGTTTTCTCTGGATAATACCCAGTGCTGTCACAAGGTGAAGTTCATAGTTAGAGAACCCAGAGAGGAGACAGTTCCATTTTCTGCTTCACTACTTGGGCAAATCCCCCCTTGGGGGTTTACCATCCCATTTTATAAATAGTGAGACTGAGGATGCTTGGGATTGTAATTTCCCGTGATTCTGTGGTTCTGAACTTGACTTTCCATCATTCAGCAGGCTACAATTTCCCCTCTGTGAAGCCATCATCCCATGGTCTAATGCTGAGCTGTCCAGCACAGCAGCCACTAGCCCACATGCCCACGGGGCACTGGAAAAGTGTCTAGTCTGAGCTGAGATGCAGGTATAAAACAAACTGGGTTTAGATTTGGTATATAAAAATAATACAAGCCATCTTATTGATATTTTTATATTTGGCCTGGCACGGTGGCTCAGGGCTATAATCCTAGGGCTCTGGAAGGCCAAGGTGGGTGGATTGTCTGAGCTCAGGAGTTTGAGATCAGCCTGAGCAAGACTGAGACCCCATCTCTTATTAAAAAATAGAAAAGCTATCCAGGTGTTGTGTGCCTGTAGTCCTAGCTACTCAAGAGGCTGAGGCAAGAGGATTGCTGGAGCTTAAGAGTCTGAGGTCACTGTGAGCTATGATGTTACCACACTCTACCCTGGGGGACAGAAAAAAAAAAAAGAAGAAAAAAAATTTGTATATTGATGACATGTCAGAAAGGTGATATTTGACATATGGGGTTAAGTAATATATATTATGAAAATTAATTTCACCTGTTTCTTTTTGCTCCTTCAACCAGAAAAAACTGAAATTGATGTGCATTTGGGTTCTATCGGGGGAGCCCTGTCTGGTCTGCTTTCATCCCAGTGTGGCCCCCGCAGAAGGTGGACTCCCCCAATTGTGGTACCTTGTCGCTGCTGGCCTCGGTGCTCGCCTTGTTCATGGTGAGCCGCAGCGTGGTGGTAGGTGAGAGAGCCCAGCGCTGTTTGCCGTTGGTGGCCACCTCCTCAGCCTCCCCATCCCGCACCACCTCCACCTGCACGTGCTCTGAGTGCTTCAGGCTGAAGGTCTGGGCCTCGGCTGGGGCTGCACTGTGGGGAGAGAAAAGAGGATCAGGGGGACCCTTGGGGAAGATGGAACAAGGGGCTTTGGGAGGAGACTTCTGGAGGGCCAAGGGGCTTCCCACATTATCTGGTCTGCGGGACCCTAAAGAAACCAGCTACACTGCAGTCTCCTGACAGCAAAGAGGGCACTTACTAGACACAGATCCCTCAGGCCTGTCTCCCGGGATCTGAATTCTTAACCAGCTCCCTAGTGCCTCTGATGGGCGGCCAGCATTGGGAGCCACCTGATCCTGTAAGGGTGGGTGACTCAGACAGGGAAATGAGTTTGCTTCAAAGGCAGAGGTAGGCCTAGAACCTCCCTGCCCAGGTCACTGAGTGAAGTGCTAAGTTCTCATGGAATGAAGCCTGGACCCCAGTCCTCACAGGGCATGGGTGCTGTGCCTCTGTTACAAAGATTCCTCACCTACCTTGCCATGGCTTTCTTAGCCTAGAAGTCCCCATATTCTTACAGTCATTCTTTGGGGTTCAGGGTGGTTTTCCATTGAAAGGGAAATATTTTGGTGATTCTTGATAAGTCATTAAGACTTCAGGGAGGGAGAACCAACTGGTTTGATTTGGCTGCTATAGACTGAATGTGTCTCCCCCAAATTCTTATGTTGAAGAATGGTATTTGGAGACAGGGCTTTTAGGAGGTAGTTAAGATTAAATGAGGTCAGAAGGGAGGGGTTCTAATTCAATAGAATTGGTGGCCTTGTAAGAGAGTGGGGGGGTCCTCTTCCTATACACACAGACACACGCACACAGGAAAGGCTGTGTAAGGACCCAGTAACAAGTCTGGCCATCTGCAAGCCAGACTTCCAGCCTCCAGAACTGTGAGCAAATAAATCTGTTCTTAAGCCGCCCTGTCTACGGTGTTCTGCTGTGGCAGCTCAGGCAGACTAAGACACTGGCTTAGGAAGAGGTGACAGGAAGGCCAGGGAGGCCAGGGGAGGAAGGTGCCCAGGGCTGGTGGTTTTGTTAAATCCCAGCCCCTGGTCTGAAGGTTCCTAAAGGCCCAAGAGGGTTCATAGGGATTTAAGTGGGATTCCCACGGGATTTGTGACTAAGACATAAGAATAAGTGTGTCTCGAAGGCACAGATGCTCGTTGGGGGGCCTGGGTTCCAGGCATTCTAAATTACAGCTGTGCTTTGGAGCTGACAGGCAGTTTTCTTTTAAAGCTGGAGATTCTGGGATTGCATCCCTGCAGACTCCGGCTGGCATGACCCAGGCTGGCCAGGGCAGCCGAAGACGGCAGCAGTAGCCAGGGTTGAATGAGAGGCCCAGGCCAGCAGCTGTCAAAGTACAGCACAGCAGCACCTGGAGGGCCTGCGGGACACAGACCGCGGCCCCACCTCAGCTTCAGGCTGAGCAGGTCCAGACTGGGGCCTGGGCATTTCCATTTCTAACTTGTTTCCAGGAACTACTGAAGCTCCTGGTCCTGGGGCCACACTTTGAGAATCACTGGTCGAGACATCTAGTAGTATGGTCCTGTGGATAGAGCCCTGAGGTGGCTGTGTGTTGCAGAGCCCGCCAGGCAGCTGGTCTGTAACCCAGGCCACTGAACCCCAAGCTGCTGGCAAAGATCACAGGCTTTGGGCATTGGCAGGAGAGAGTAGGTAGGGCTCCACAGCTTGGGCCCAATGCCGGGGGAGAAGCTCAGTCCAGAAGCCCCGAGGCCACTCTATTTCTTGTCCCTCTGCCCCCCTCCAAAATCCTCAGCCAGTTGTGAGGACACTGGGCTGATGTGAGGCTGGACATATGTTGGCCGTGGCCTGCCCTGCTCTGCCTGCATCTATCATTAGGAGAAGCAGGAAAGCCCTGGATGGGGGTGGGGAATGTGTGCAGAGAGCTGGGTGTGAGTCCAGTTTTGCCGCTGACTTACTGAGGGGGTGTTGAGCATGTTCCTTGCATTGTCTGAGTGTCTAGTGACCCACCCCTAAGTGGGAGGGCTGCCACCCTTAGCTCCACAGCTCTTATCCCTCATAGGGCTGGGCCACGTTTTACAGCGGCAGGCTGTAAAGGATGAATCAGGTGGTGTTGCTCTGTGGTACCTGTCCCCCTCTGGGCTGTGGGCCTCTTGTGGGCAGTCCCATCCCCATCCTTCAGAGCCCAGCCCACTCAGGACATGTCCCATCACACACACACAGGAACGGGGGCAGAACTGAGCAGGGTGGAAGGTGAGCCGAGCCCAAAGGGAGGTGTGGGGATGCACCTTGGGTGCTTTGGGTGGCACATGGAGGGACAATTGAAAAGAAGATGGATGTGTTTATCAAGTGCAGTATCTTTTTATGACAACCGATAGGCCTTGCCATTTGTGGCAATGCCATAAAAGCACTGTTTACAATAAAGTGATGAAGAAGAACATGAGTTGGTTTAAAGAAAAATGTTAATTGTGCTACAGGTGGAGGATGGTTTTGGCAAAACTCGTGAGTCCAGGAAATCATGGACTCGGGTCTGGGAGACATTTCTCTATGCAAGTTTTAGCTTTGCCCATCAACTTGCTGGGTGGCCTGGGGCCAGGGGGTTTCCCTCTCTCAGTTTCATGGAGTGTCAAATGAGAGATGGGACCTGCTTCATTCCTCTCTGCCAGTGAGAAACCAGAGGAGGCCCCAGAGGCTCCAGAGGGTTAACGCCTGACCCACGTTACAGCTTCAGGGCCCCACACCCTCCCACCACCCAGCACCAGCCTTGCTCTGAGCTGAGCAAACAGCTATTCTTGGAAAAGCCCTGGCAGAAGCAACAAAGGTGCCATTGTCCCTCTGCAGATCCTGTTGGCTGTTCTCCCTCCCCCCCACGAACCTCTTAGAATCCCCCTGCAGAAACCTAAGAGCCAGGGGCTGCAGGCTATTGAATTGCCTGCAGAGAGGGACCAAGCACAATATGGAAGGAAAAGGAGTGGGAGCAGGAAGGGTGCGGACCTCCCTGCCTATTGGAAAGAGGCTAATAAATTCGAGGCAGCCAGTCCCCAAACCACATCTGCTTTGTCCACCACTGTATCCCAGAACCCAGGACATGGTCATGCTCAATGTAGTCTTTGGGAGTAAATCAATGAATGGACCCACCTTCTTGGCTCTCCAAGCTGTATCACCAGAGTGATTTTTTTTTTTTTAAAGAACAGAAATCAGGTCACTTGCTTGCCTGAAAAGATTCACTGGCCACTCAGTGCTCACCCTTACAATAAAACCCAAGCTCTTTAGCCTTGTGTTCAACCAGTGGCACTTGGCCACCGCATCCCAGCCCCGTTTTCTGTGACTCCTTCCACCCCCTAGATTCCCCACATCGCTCCCTTTCACCTGCTGTTCCTTCTACCTGCAAGACTTTCTCCTGACTTTTCTGCCTGGTAAATGTCCGCCTCTCCTTGAAGACCCAACCCAGCTGATTCATCCTTATGGTTTCTGTCCCTGTGGCAGTTAATTCTCTGAAGGTAGGGATTATTACATCCTCTTTTTTAATTTTTGTTTCAGCCCCTGGCCTAGTGCAGGCACACAGTAAGTATAAATTGTTTGCAGCAGGAGGGCTGGAAGAGGAGGTCATTCATTCACTTAGCAGACAATCTCTGATCACTTATTATGTGCCAGGCCCAGTTCTGGGTGCTGGGGGTTGATTGGTAAAAAAGAAAATGTGTTCCCTGAGCCTATGGTGTTTGTATTCTGGTGGAGGAAAAAGACTTTCAATTGGGTTAAGCAATTAATTGTGTGATTATAGCTGTGATAATTCCTATACAGGAGAAGTGTGGAGTGTCACAAGACTCTGGCCTGGGGTTCAAAGAGGGATTCCCTGAGAAGTAGCCTTTAAGCTTTGCACTCCCAAAGATAGATAGGGTGCATGCCAGGCTAGCACCCATGACTCCCCGCTCAGGCTCCTATAAAGGAATGGATTAAACCAGCAGTTCGTAAATCTGAGTGCACATCAATCAGCATTGCCTACCCGGCTTGCTAGTGGGGCCTAAGAAATTGCATGTCTGACAAAGCTCCCAAGTGCTGCTGGTCTAGAGCCACAGTTTGAGAACCACTGAATTGGACAAAGGGAGGGGAAGAAGAGGAGCAGAGATTTCCAAGCAGCAGGGACAGCCTGGGTGATGGCCCAAGGAGAAAGTCAGCCCGGCAGGTTCAAGAAACTGAAAGGAGGGTGTGGTTGGAGTTTGTGGAGAGTGGTGGGAGGAGTTCTAGATCGTGGCCTTTCTCCTGAGAGTAAAGGGAAGTCACTGACGGTTTCTAAGCAGGGGTAGCAGGGTCACTTTTGCACTGTGGACTGATCACCCAGGGTGTAGGGCAGGGATAGATTTCAAGAGAGCAATAGAAGAGGTGGGGAACCAGTGAGGAGGTGCTGTGGCTGCCCAGGTGAGTGATTATGGTGCCTTGGTACTAAGCGGTGGCCGTGGAAATGGAGAGAAATGGCCAGTTGGTTGGTGTTAAGCAGGGGGTATCTCCCCAGCCCCATAAATGCTGTGTGGCTTCTGGAAAGCCACCCAGCTTCCCTGGTCTTGGCTCTGTCAGTGGGGAGGGTCACTGGCTTGGCCTTGCAGGGATGGGGTGGCTCGCTCAGCCCCAGACTTGAAGGCATGAAGTGTCTGCTCTTTGCTGGCATCTGGCCCTCTCTGCCTGTCCACCTGACCTGGGCCTCATTAACACCAGTCGGGGCTCATCCCCAGGGTGACCCCAGCTCCTGGCAGCCTGAGTGTGACATTTTGTCTACGGGTCTTTATAGGAGCCTGAGGGGGGAGTTGTGGGTGCCAGCCTGGCATGCAAGCCCATGGTGAGCAGGGGGGAGGCAAGGACCCGGGCTGGGAAGATCTCAGGCCAGACTTCACACCTAGTGCTCAGCACGGTGGTGGCTGGAGCTCAGAGGGTGGGCAGCTGTGCTGGACAGGGATCCGCAGAGGCAAACCATGACATCTGCTTCCAGCGAGCCTCCTTCTCCACCTGGTGCCTCCAGCTGCCCTGAGCCACTTCTTAGGGAAGAAACAACCTGTTCTATAGATACTATC